CATACAGTTATTTCTGGAGCTTGCATACTTTGCCACTAGGGAAGGACCCTTCAAGACCAGACGGTAAATCCATGTATACATCCTCTTCAAGATCTCCATTATGGAATGCATTTTTGACATCAAGTTGCATAATGGACCAGTCTCGGTTTGCTGCAATGGAGAGTAGGATTCTAATGGAGTTCAGTTCGGCTAGTGGGGCAAATGTCTGTTGGTAGTCAATTTCGTATGACTGTGCAACCAGTCGGGCTTTTAACTGATGTATCCTTCCGTCTGCCTTACATTTGATGGTAAATAACCACCTGCATCCTACTAGTCTCGTATCCTTGGGCAAATCAGACACAATCCACGTTCCACTCTTTTCTAGTGCAGCAACTTCTTCATTCACAGCTTTTCTCCATTCCGGGTGTGAGAGAGCTTCTTGAATAGAATGCTGTCAATTTATGCTGTCAATAACAGTTACAAATGCACGATAGGGAGGAGATAACTTCTTATATGAAATAAATCGGGCAATAGGATGTTGAGTGCAAGGAACATCAGAACCATCTTTTACAGGCAGGGTAAGCTCATAATCACTAGTGTCTATAGATTCCGTACCTGAGTGAGTTTCAGAGGATTTTGGAGCTGGATTAGATCCTTGGACAACAGCTGGAAGCAGTGTTAGGTTCTCTATTCTTTCAGCAGTTTTGTTTTGTCTTGTATAGACCCGAAGTTTCTGAGGAGTGGGTTGTGCAGACTGAGGAGGTTGAATAGGAGAAGGTGTGGGTTGTGTAGACTGAGGAGGTTGAATAAGAGGTGGAGGTGAGGGACTCGTGTCAGTTGGTAAAGGAACACAGTGCTGTTGTTCACTATGACTACTCTCCCCCTGAATGATAGACCCTTGGTAGTATAATTGATGCTAAAGAAAAGGTGACATCCATATAATTATAGACCTTTTTAGTTGAAGGACAATAACACTTGTAGCCTTTCTTGTTGGTCAAATACCCTATGAATATGCATTAGACAGATTTGGGGTCTAATTTACTGTGGTGTTGTTTGTGAATATGAACAAAGACGAAACAACCAAATAGTTTGGTAGGGACAACTGAAGAGAGTGTACAGGTATTTGGAAATGAGCGAAAGAGAACATCAATTGGACTACGGAAACCCAAAATACGAGAGGACATCCGATTTATGAGGTAGGCCGCAGTCAATGTTGCCTCGCCTCAATAACATTTAGGGACCGATGTGGTAAACATGAGACAGCGGACTAACTCCAACAAGTGACGATTTTTTTGCTCAGCAACCCCATTTTGTTGGGGAGTATCAACACACGTACTAAGGTGAAGGATGCCATGTTGAGTAAGAAAAGTTCTTAGGGAGGTGTTGAAAAAATTTCATACATTATCTGTTTTGAGAGCCTGGATTTTTGTGTCAAATTGAGTGAGTATCATTTGATAGAATACAAAAAATATTGGGTCTACCTCGGATTTGTCACGCATAAGATAGATCCATGTCACCCGTGTGTGATTATCAATAAAAGACACGAACCATTGAGCCCCAGAAATATTTTTTTTCATGAGAAGGACCCTAGATGTCACTATGAATCAAAGAAAAGGGACGAGTGAGTTTGTATGATAATCGAGGAAATGAAGTACGAGTGTGTTTGACAAGTTGACAAAAATCGCAATTAAAAGATGTAGGACTTTTATTAATAAATAATGGAGGAAACAGTTTCCCCAGGTACATAAAGTTGGGATGACTTAAACGATAATGAAGTAACATAATTTCACTATCATTATTAACGCTGGGGAATACAGATGTACTAAACAGATTTAAGCAGGACAAACTCGATACTGGAATACAACCGGTGGGTGAGACTAGAATGACATAGGGTTGGTTGAGGAGATAGAGACCATTGTACAACTCAACACTGCCAATCATCCTCCCCGACTTCAAGTCCTGAAATTCACAAACATATGAAAACAATTTAGCAACACAATGACAATCATGAGTGAACTTACTAATAGAGATCAGATTGCAATCCAAAGTAGGAACATGTGAGCACAGAAGTGAGGAATAAATCTGGAGAGATGCAGACAGAACCAAGACCAGCAACTTTGGAGGCTGATCCATCAGCAATCCGAACTGTGAGGGTCGGATTACACGACCGGTAATCCATTAATAACGAGACATCCCCGGTCATATGATCGGAGGCACTTGAGTCAACAATCCATGGGCGAGAAGATGTTGAATCCAAGACAAAAGCGGACGGGGAAATACCTTGATAGGTGACAAGGTCGGTGGCACCCGATGCCACACTAATAGGCTGGACTGGTGACAACTGACTGAGCATCTTTTGGAGGGCATGGATTTGTTCTTCGCTGAATGGGCTCGTTCCTGGAGAGGCTTCGGTGGTGCTGGTGGCAGCTGCGCGATGATCCCGTTTGGGTTTCCCATTGGCGGGTTTGCCATGAATCCGCCAACACGTATCCCGAGTATGGTCAGAACGATGACAGTTGTCACACCAAGGGCGGCCCTGATGGTCACACCAAGGGCGGCCCTGGCGTTGGCGGTTGTTTGTGAATGGAATATGAGTATCCGAACTGTGAGGGTCGGATTACACGACCGGTAATCCATTAATAACGAGACATCCCCGGTCATATGATCGGAGGCACTTGAGTCAACAATCCATGGGCGAGAAGATGTTGAATCCAAGACAAAAGCGGACGGGGAAATACCTTGATAGGTGACAAGGTCGGTGGCACCCGATGCCACACTAATAGGCTGGACTGGTGACAACTGACTGAGCATCTTTTGGAGGGCATGGATTTGTTCTTCGCTGAATGGGCTCGTTCCTGGAG